AATAAATTCTTTTTCTTATAAAAAGTAATGCATTTGCAAGGAAATTGTGGAAAAACCAAAATTCAGCCTCTAAGTTTGTTTATCTCAGCCACTTATCGTTTTACTCAGGAAATACTTAAAAATTTTGGTTTCTCAATCTTAAAATAAGGTCTCGAAGAGATCAACATATGCCTTGCACATGCTTATTATCAAAAACACAGTCATGGGACTAGGAACTTTCAGCTTTAAAACTTCACTCAAGGGAACGGAAGAGCTTTGTTTGTTCGTTCTCGTAACTTGGTTAACTTGGTTCAATTTTTAACTCTTAAGAAAAGCTCGGTTGTCGTGCTTTTGACGTCTCTTCAACTATTTAGACTTGCGGTTAGCAACCGTTATCAAAAAAGAATAAAGACTTTTTTGCGTGTTAACAACTTGCGGGACAAAATCAATTCAATCGTTCTAATGTGTGCCCTTTAGCTGCTAAAATTCTCAACTTCTAAGAATTTTAAGCTTAATTTTTAGCAAGAGCTATTACTTATGAATGCTGAATATAGAACTCAACCTTTGCATGTATATGTATAGAATTTTTATTTTATTTTTTTTCCTGATGATTTTCGACTGCATATGTGTCGATTAAGTAGCTGCTGGTTTATTTTCCGAATAATAACACCATGATCAAATGACCAACTTAGCCTTTATAGATTTTATGTGGGAAGTAAGTGTAATTTATTTTCTATAAGATTTTTTCACCAAAACTTTCTGTCGGTTTTTTGCTTTTTTCTTACGTCGACTTTAAATCTGTCATCTTCGCACTTTTTTCTCAAAATTTCCGGTGTCATTTTTGAAATTAAAGACCCAGCAATTTTTGAATGCTAAAATTTGGCCCCACAAGGACTCTCTTTTAATTTTTAAACTAAACTTCAACAGAAGAAAATATTTGCGTCAGAGAAATTTTTTTCGATCTTTTTCGAGTTTTTTGTTTATCCCTTTGCTTTTTCTTGGGCGTCACGCTGTTTTCAGTCTTCTTTAGTTCGAGAAAATTGAAATGATGGTTTTTGAGTTTTAAAAAAAAATTTTTGATAGTTTTTAAAAATTTTTTTTGGTTACTTTCTTTCTAGTCTAGTTCATGTAAAACAATAATTCAAAACTCAAATTAATGATCTTTTGGTACATTTGGCACAATGGTAACAAACTAGATTGAGACGACAAAAGCTCAGTGTTCGACTCTTGTGGGGTCTTTTCTTTCAAAGACTGAAAATTTTAGACGTAGTCCTTCTACTTTTTTTGCTTAATTCCCACAGAAATTTTTTTTTGAAAGTTTTGACTTCTAACATTCCGAAATTGAGCTTGTTTTTTTTTGGATTTATACAGCAATTTTATATGTTTTTTTTGGTTCTTTTTTGCTTTTTGCTTTTAATTTCTCGTTTCATTCGTCCTGGATCAAACATATTCCATTTTGATTCGCAAGTTGTGCCAAACTCTGTTTCGCCTCAGAGTTGAGACTTATACTAAAATTTTAAAATTTCGGGGATCTTTCTGAGATACAACTAATTGATAAATTTCAGTTTTTTTCCCGCTAATTAGGGTACCATATTTAGATCAAGGGATATGTCTTTCAAAAAAAAATTAATTTTAGATATTCTTGATTTTTTAAATCATTTTTGTCATTTTCTTATTAAACTTATTTTAATGTTATTGAAAACTTTGATTTCATCTATTCAAATCACGCTCAAAAACAATTTGAGCTAGAACATAAAAAATCCAGTCTAACTTACTGTGCTTTTGAGAAACAACCGGCTGTTCTTGTTTTTTTTTTTTCGTTTTGGTATTTTTCGTTCGATACTTTTATTTTTAAGTTTTTCAACAAATTTCCTCTTATTTTTATTTCAAGTAAAACATATTAGCTAAATCTTGATTGTGTTAAAATTTGTTTGGATCTATTTAACAACCCCCCCCCCTTTTCTTGATAGGGGGAGATTGTTAAGTAGATCGAAACAAACTTTAATGAGATTACTTGCAGCGAATTTTCGAACAATCAGAAAACAGCAAAAATCGAATTTACATACGACGCATTAGTGCGAGTTTACTGTTTTTTTACAGGGGTGAAGAATTTTTAGCAGATACAATAGGGGAGAGATTGTTAAGGAGATCCGTAAAAACTTCGATTTTTTTGATAAAATGATTTCAATTGAATCAGTTGAATTGGTGTTTTTTATGCCTTGAAATTTTTTAACTGACAAATTCTAGATCGCCTTTATTGCGCACCTCAACTGAGCTGGTTAAAATCAATTCTCATAGAAGGTTTGGAACGTCGTATACTTTGAGGAATCAAGCTTTTCTTTCAAAATTTTGTCTTGAACTCTTTTTTGGATCTGTTTTTTAACCAAATTTAGGTGGATTGCAGATTACTACTAAGCGCACAGTTCCTAAGCGCACAGTTTTGCTATATATCGCAGAGCTAGGTAGTAAATAACTCAAAAAAAATTTTAATTGTTATTTGAAATTTGCTTTTCATGCAACCCGTTTTCGACCGGTTAGCTTCATGATTATCCTTATTCCAAGGATGAAAAATTTCTGGTTTCTTGCTTAAAATGATTTTGAAAAATTCAAAAAAGTATGGCATAATTAAATGAATTGAACAGCCGAACTATTGAAGTAACATTTTCTGAAAGTCAATTGGTTTTAATATATTTAATGAGATATATTTAAGGAGAGCTTTCAAGTTTCCGAGTGATTTTCAAAACGTTCTAACCTATTAGCATATGTATCTAACGGCATTGAATCAAAACAGCAAAACGTAGAATATATCAGCAGCATCAGTAGACTCAAGTAAAACTTTATTTTTTATTTGAGGTTTTTTGTAAAAATCATCTCCCCCCACATGCCATACAAAGTACAAAGTGATAGATTTCGCTCCTTGTAACAAGTCAATTATGGCAAATAAGCTTCTTTCAACCAATTTGGAACGATTTCTAAGTCGGATTAAATCTGCGCTTACGCGTTAATAGCGCGAATTATATCGCGCGTTAATTGTCCCAAATTGGTCAAAATGGCAATCTTTAAACCCTCAAACCCTCATAACTTTACGAAAAATGGTCACAAGTAAAATATCTTTTCAAATTTAAGCTCAAGACAACAATAGCTTTTGAATGATAAAACCAATTCCGTCAAAAAAGGCTAGTTAAAAAGTCGAAGTTTGTCTGAAGACAAAAAAACCCACCCCGAGCACAAATATTCCGTTACCTTCGTATCGAAAGTCGGAACAATAAACGAGGGCTACTCTCATGCGCGAAAGACCGAATGGGCCAAAATTTAGTGGGCGATAAACCGAAAAAATAAGCCGAAAGTCGATTTGTAAAATAATCAGTTGCTATTCATTTAAAATGAAATAAATGAAGCAATATTCTGCTTCTTTCATAACGAAACCCTTGAAGTGTAAAAATTGTTCCCTTCGGCGGCGGTCAGTGACAATTTTAAGTCCCTGGAAATGTTTACTTTCTTCCAGATTTTCACGCTTTCTTTCCAAATTTTAGATTACTGAAATCTGGTTGGCTGATTTTTATTTTCGCGCTGTCGGTCTTTCGCGTATGAGGGATTGCACCAAATAAACGACACAGCTCCGCTCGTGTATCAGGGTAAAATTCCAGATGTTTCGACTGCCCTTTAATTAGTCTCGAATAGATTTGAAAGTCGGAACAACACAACTGCTTCTAAAAAGAGCCAAATGATTTGACTGCCCCTACGTTTAAAATTTAAAGTTTAAAATTCTATAAGTTACAAAAGAGTTTCCCCCACAAGCGATGTTAATTTGTAAGTGCTGTGTTGCAGTGTTTTGGGTCTGGTTACGAACTATTAACTAATTTGCCGGCGTTGCTTCGAAAAGCATAAAACTCGACTAGCATAAAAGTTTTAAAATTGAAAATCGTATCGACTATCATAAGAATTCAGACGAAAAAAACATGTTGTCAAAGTTAAAATCATTATACACAAAAAATTACGTAAATCACAATTTTTTCACACATTTCATAATTTGCGCGGAAATCAGTGTTCAGTTGAAGCCATTACAGGTCGATGGTCTGACTGATCACAATTGATGTGATAATTAATTTTATTTTCCTGTTGATTGCCAAATTTTTCAAATGCTCATTTTTCTATTTCTCAGATGTGCAAGTTTCAATTTGAGCGGACTGTGATTGTTGTTTGGTATTTCTCATAAATCAAGCTATTATACAAGTCGACACATTTTCAATTTGAAAGTTTTTTTTTCCGCTGACACTTCATGAAGGAAAATTTTTTTCGCAAACCCATATAATTTCACAACGAAGATCGCAGGTAAATTATATTTTTGGCTTTGAGCCCCGGAAATCAATAACTTTAAGGTGAAATAAAAAAAATTCTATCAAAATTGGCTGATAGTAAAGAGATGTTACTTGAAAATTTGTCCGGAGAAAAAACCACCCCGAGGTCGCGTCACTTTCATGGAAATTTGGAATTTAATTCAATGATTCAATTTTATGTCAGAGTGGGAAAAAAATAACAGAACTTCGTGTTTTGACTGTTCAATATATTGTACCAGGGATGAATCGAGAAACATACGACGTTTTCAGATAAAACTACTCGCGATATTTTTTCGAACTTGACTGAAAACATAATGAATTAGCTTATCTGTGCAGTTTCGGGCAACCTCCGCTGTCCCTCTGAATTTTGGATTATACAAACTTTTTGGGGCATAAATTGACTTTCAACTAAAAAAAATACAGATGTAAGGATTCAGTGAGCGAAAAAAAGGTCATTAGTTCCGAATACAAGATTTATCAGTGTCCAAAGAAGGACAAAGTTATCAATGACGAAAAAACTTAGGCACCTCATTGTTGTTTTTGGGTATCATTCTGGTAGCCAACATCGACCAGAGCGGAAAATTGCAAATTCTTAATCAAGGGAGAACATGCGGCTCCCCGCGAAGAGCTGATCTGTTCTAAAGTCAAGTATTTTTTGTTTATAACAGCTATCGAGGTACTTACGGAGTGACAGTAGAATATAGCGGATACGGTCTGTCGGAACAGTCTACGTGCCTCGCTCTCCGACAGCAGCTTCACCCTGTGCAGGTGTTGGAACAATTCTCCCCCCACCGCACACTCCATCACAATGATGATGGCCTCCTGGTTCTCCAAGACCTGCAGGCACAGCATAAACCAACAATCAATAATGGCATTGAGGCTTATCCGGTAGTGCTGCAGTCCAGCAGTCAAATGATTGCAGCTGAAATTCGCACTTTCACCGCAATTTGCAAGTTGAGCACATAGCTTAATGCTCATCAAGATTGGGCTAGTTTTTTATACAGTCAAATTTCAACTTTTTAACTAAGCGTTGATGACAAATATTTTATTATACCATCTAAAAGATTTTATTGTGTGAAGCTCAGATGTAAGAAAATCGCATGTGATTGCTTTTCGTAAAGTTATGGAGGATATTTAACGCGTGATATATTGTGTTCTTATAACATGCGTAAACGTAGAATTAAACCGTTCACAATTGAATTTAGGATAAAATTTGGTTTGATTTCATGATTAAAGTTGCTAAATACATCTTTTTGTACGTTACGTGACGTATCGGTAATGCTGCTTAAAAAATAAAAAAAAAACTTTTTGTTTTGACTACTCAATTTTATTTTTAAGCAAAAAGTTTTCCTACCCTTTTTGGTGAACGAATCTGAACAATGTTGATTATATTTTAATTGCTCATTTCGACATCTGGTTTTATCCGATTGCTGATTTGCACACGTAGAAAACGTGTCCTAAAATTAAGTAAAATAAAATGCTTGCAAATTGGGTCAATAATTGACCCAACTTGCAATTTTTTTTAATTTCCATGTATTTTTAGGCTGACTAAAAAGGGTTTTCCGAGCTCTCCCAAAGCTTAAAGAGACGCCAAATTTTCTGCGCAGCAGTCAAAATTTTTGAAAATAAGACGCGAAAAGACTTTCTGGAAAATTCTGACCAAAATTTCTTCCTCAAAATAATTAAATATTGGCGACCAAGGTCTTTTTAGAAAAATTTTAGGACCCTTTTTAGAACCAAAAATGGATATCTCAAAATAGTACAAAGAGGTAACCCTTTGGGTCGACAGGGAGTCAAATCCTTGAGGGAAAGGGGCGTCCGCCCCGCCCCTCCCCGAAATCCGCTACTGGGACGATCGTAGACTAACAATGACAAGGGCAAATCCTGTTTAGAGTTTCAGCAGAATTAATATGGTGCAAAAAACTTTGGGATTTTGCAAAACTCAATCTAAATTTCAATTCGAAAATCATTTGGTTTTTTAGTCAATCATAAATAACGCCAAAACTAACTGTTCACTTGCCGACAAAAATATATCAAATTGACCCTATTGTGAGCCGAACAAAGTTTACAAAAAGTATAATCTTTTTGATATAATTTACATAAATTTAATTTGTTTTGGTCAGAAATTTTTTAAACTTTTTGCGCCAGATTTTGGAGATTTCACAAATTTTGTTGGGCTAAGTAAGAGGATTGCTATGATATATTTTTGACAGCTATTGAACCAGTGGCGGATTTAGGGGGGAGGCGGTGGTGGGCAGACGCCCCCCCCCCCCTCAGGGATTCGACCCCCTGCCGACCCAAAGGGTCCCCCCTTTGATACTTTTTCAGAAATCCATTTTTGGCCGACCGACCCTAAAATTTTTCTAAAGGCGCCTTTGGCGCCAATATATACTAACTTTGAGGGGGAGCGCGGGCCAAAAAAAAACGCTATTTTTTTGTCAAAATTTTTCAAAAATTGACCAAAAACTGCTTTTTTGACTGTTTTTTCAAAAATTTGCCTGCGGCGCAGAAAATATAGCCAAAATAGGGGCAAAACAGTGCGTTGGGAGAGCTCGAAAAATCAATTTGGTCGACCTAAAAAAAAAAAGGTCGTCAAAATTTTCGAAATTGCTCGAAATCATACACGGATAAAATTGCTCGAAATCATACCGATATTGCCAAAAATTTACTCAAAAGCAATCTTATAAATAAATAAGAGAGCTTCAAAAAAACTGGAACATTCAAAACAAGTTAAGAAGAGCAAATGACCTATATGGGACAACTTTTGCATGCAAAGGCTAATTTTTCAGACTAAAAATTTATCTGAAGGTCATCTAAAACATCAATTTTGAATGTGAAATTTGCTCTAATTGGCAGATGGCTCTATTTGATTATTTCTCTCTGTTCCATATTTTTGCAACTTATAATACAGATTGGGAGCGTGATTGGAACTGACTTCTCTGATATGTATGATGTTCGGGTGGTGTAGACTGCTCATGATTTCGATCTCCCGCTTGATGCCGGCCAGCTCGTCCGAGTCACACGACAGCAGCTTGCGCAGGTTGATCGTCTTCACCGCAAACTATAACGACAAACTGCTCGTTATTTACAGACAGGAGTTGTTTAGCTAAACTTAAATGAAGTAATTTTGTGCCAAAATATATAAAATATATAGGAATAGGCTTTTCCCGAGAGGTAGCTTTCTGTAATATTACCCATTGATTGATCGATTGATTGATAATTGATACAGGGGCGGATTTAGGGGAGGGGGGCGGACGTTCCCCCCCCCCCCCCTCAGGCATTCGACCCCCTGCTACTTTTTAAGAACCCTTTGGTACTTTTTAAGAAATCCATTTTTGGCCAACCGACCCTAAAATTTTTCTAAAGTCGCCTCCGGCGAAAATATATGCTAATTTTGAGGGGCAGCGTGCGCCAAAAAAAACGCGATTTTTTTGTCAACATTTTCCAAAAAGTGCAGAAAATTTGGCCAAAACAAGGTCTTTTTAGTGCTTTAGGAGAGTTCGGAAAATCAATTTGGTCGACTTAAAAAAAATGTCGTCAAAATTTTCGAAAATTTTTTGAAAATCCGCCTCCCCCCTCGAAAAAATCCTAGATCCGCCCCTGAATTGATATACAATAATCTTTATCATAGTTTGATAGGACTATCCTGAAAACAGTAGTTCGCGTTCGTTGGAGTACTGAAATTTTTCCTGACTCAAGGAAAATACTCACCCAAAATTTCGGGGCGGCTCTCGTGAAATGTTTAAGATGCATAGATAGTTTTTATCTCAAGATCGCTTACCAACTGTTTCGTGTTCACGTCCTTTGTCAGTTTCACCTTCCCGTACGTTCCCACCCCTAGTGGTCTGATCACTTCGTATTTCTTCACAGCCACTGGACGCCCCGCTGCAGACGTACTCGTGCTGCCGGCGCCACCAGTTGTCGTATTCGTCGACGTGTTAGAAACACAATCTGAATCATTGTTCAAGGACAAAGTACTTCCATTCGGGTTTCGGATGCGACCCGAGATACCGTTGGAAGTCGGGCCACTTGCCTCGCTTGTGCTCGAACAGTAAATGTCTTCCAAAGACGTTGCAGGAATTGTAGGGACTCCAATTGGCGTTCCGGAGGGTGATATGCCGACGTTCATGTGTTGGTTCGAAAGATGCGTGAGCTGTCTCTGATGAGCTTGCATCGCGGCGACAGCAACTTGATGCTGACATTGTGCCTCCGCAGCGAGGAGGATCTCGAGTTGGTTAGCTTGAGCGATCTGCGCCAGGTAGTTCGCGTGAACTGCGTCGTATGCTTGCTCAGCACTCGGGTCGACATAGGGCGAGGCCTGAGCTTCCAAAACATGACTCGTTTGCGGATGGTACTGCGACTGCTGCTGATGATGGTGATGATATTGACTAGAACCAGGCACTGTTAGTTGCAGATGATGCATTCCTAGGTCATTCGAGACTACCGAGTTATAGGCGTAGCTCGGGAGTTGGTTTTGACAACTACTAGTCGGATATCCCGAAGGCCACGAGTTATGATGAGTCATCACAGGTGGTTGGTGATGCTGTGCATTGTTTCCGGCAACACCTCGTGCGGCTGTTCCGGAGACAGCGGAGTGTTGCGTGTGGTATTGCGGTTGGATATGGGGGTTTTGGGGAGGGGGTTGACCCCAGTTTGAACTCTGTTGACCTGGTTTGTGATAACCCTGCATTATTAGCGACTGTTTAGTTGATCCCACATCACTGTGGGCTTAAAATCTGTAACTGAAAACGGGAAGTAGTACCAGCGATTGTTGACGTGGCTTGACGTTTTTCCGGCACCATATCCGGATGTTCTTCGTGGATATATACGGATTATGATCATTCGCGGAAGGATGTTAATTAAACTAAAACAATATTAGGACACTTGCGGAATTTTATGATGAATTTTTTAAAAATAATCAAAAATGGTCGAACTGTCAAGCGAGTTCTTCTTGATTTGTGAAGTTATAATTGATGTATGTGGTGGATTTTTAGTGGAATTGACGGGCTTAAGGATGAGGTTAAAAGGTGAAAGGGGGAGCTATATATACAAATAAAGGAACGCGGGGAAAAAGTAATAAGCCCGAGAATAGATTCCTTTATTCGTGCTTTTGAGCCTTTTATTTGAGGTTCGATTTCGGTCCAAGATTTATTGCAAGCAAGCTTTAGCAGATATTTGGTTCGGTTGAGCAGAGTAAGTGCAGGAGTTGAAAGGAGTTTTGTTCAAATGTGGGCATTTTTCGTTCAGCCGGTTAAGTTTTGCCCGCTTGACGCCGCAAGGCAATACACGGAACCGGGGAAGCTTAGGTAAATAAACTCAAGTTATAAGTATTAACTTGTTATAAGTTTGAGGCTAAATTTTGAGAAGTTATGTTTACAATTTGCCCGGTTCCAATCCACGCTAAATGTAAGACTACATTTTGACTCCTTTCGAGAGACTTCAAACTTCTAGAATGGGAGAAATCTTACAAATAATTGCACTTTCTGAGCTCATATACACAAATCTGGTGTGTTGGAGTTTATTTCCCCAAAAATTTCCGTTACCAGCCGGCTATATCAAATTCCAGAGAGAATTGCCGGCGGCCCGTGTGTCCGGGGCAAATTCCTCGAACCCACAGTGGAACAGAGTTCCTGGGAAAGCGGCGCATATTGAATGAGGCCTGAGCTTCTGACTATTCGCCAGTTTCTTAATGCGAAGTGTTGTTCAAATTGGAAAGTCATGTTGGCGCAGCACAAGGTGCAATAAAAGGACCCTGATTGTTAAGATCAAAAATTTGTCCCGTCAGGGCTTTAACTCGGAATCCATGAGGGTATAGTTGTTACTGAACGAAATGTTTTGGATAGAATGCTATATTTCAAGCGAATAGGCGGACCCTCAAATTAGGAAAACTCCAGAGCTAGGATTTATGACAAAACGGGTGCTGATTATTTTATGCAGCTCAAATTTGATAGTCTGAAGCTCCAAATTTTGATATTTCTTCTGAAAATTGAGTTTTCTCGAAAATGCGGAAATAAAATAAATAGTTTTCACTAGCAATAAAAAAATCGGGAAAAAAATTTCTAACTTATTTAATTTAGCCCTGGGTTTCTTGAAAAAGGTTTTGAAACTTCTGGCTTGGATCTGACTTTCATTTCAGCGTGCAAGAAAAACTGGCGCAAGCTGCAAAAGTGTTTGTACTATGGCAGTTTACTATTTATATCAAAAAGCGTTCTTGGATCATTTTTATTTGAAGCGCATTAAATTAAACTTAATATAAGGTTTCAGGCCAGTTTGAAAACAAAATTGAATCAGCTTGAATTGGCGTTTTGCTATATTTTCATTTGGCGTCTGAAAAACAAGAAAATTCAGCCGAAGTTGTCAACTTCATTGCAAAATAACCTGAATTGTTGATAAAAACAAGTGGAAAGTTTGTTTGTTCAGATTCAGGGTTGATCTACCTTCGAAGGAAACCAATTATTTGAGAGTAATGGAGTTTGAAGACAAAAAATCAGCATGTTACCGTCTAAAACGACACACGCCCTCCCCGTCCTCTGCGTGCAGGGCCCTATATTAGCAAAAAGAACCGATATCTTAGCATCAGATTTGTGAATATATCAAGCATTTGTATCCCTACAAACCTCAGAAATCAGTAAAGCCCTCGCCTGTTTTGTAAATATTTTCCGTAAAGAGAGAAAGATAACAGAACCAAAATATTTATGAAAGTGGGTTTAGAACTGAAAACGGGCTAAAAGTATTAGCTTTTGAAAATTAAGAATGGGAAAAAGAGTCTTCTGTTATCACTAAGTTCACTAATGAATGAATTGTAAATTTCTACTTTTTTGAATTCGCGGGGACGATCATGAAATGAATATTTCAAGAAAGAGTTAACGAATACTAATTATAATTCAGAACATTCGCATCATCAATATGCTAATGTACCGTTTTTAGAGCAGCAATAAAGACTAAAAGTTGTGAAAATAAGATAGATTGTGCTGTTTTCTTTTTTTGATAAATTATCAATACAAAAACACGAAGTTAGAAAATTAATCTCTTCCTTGCTCCGAATTGGAAATGTCGATTTAGTAGAATGCTTTGTTTTTTCCGATAATCCAGGTAAGGATGAAAAGAATAAAGGTAGCGTCAGAAAAATCGATTGGAGTGGAAAAAAGTTAGGACAAGGTGGTTTAAAATCAGTCTAGCATGTTAAATTGGCCGCTCTTAGAGCCAGAAGTATATATTGTTATTTTTCACAAGTATCGATTCAAAATCCACAGCTTAAAAAATGTAAATAACGTATATGCCGGAGCTGCTAAAAATGGTATAACACGAGACTCAGTTTCTTATTGCTCTTACCAATGCCACATGCAGCAAATATGGCGGGGATTCCTAAATAAATTTAACCTTCACTCAGGCAAATAATTTGAGCAGATATTCAATTTTAACATTAATCTATCGCTTCCGTAAGCACCACTTAAACATAGCACACGATGACGGAATAATACTTTTTCCATGGTAAATCATTTTTTCCTTACTCCGTACCTGCTAAAGCGACTAGGAGACTTAGTCATGCTGTATCATTAGACACATGCGGCTTGGTTGCATATACCAGCTAAGCAACATGGCTGCAGTTGGAGGTGTTTTGTTGATCCTTTGCGAAAAGGAAAGAGCTAAAATCTATTACAATACCCAATAAAATCACTTCATGTCAAACTTCAAAATATGTCAAAAGTGTATGGTCTTCAACACAAGAACTTGCTACATTTTCAACGCCGTCAAACTGCCCTTACCCCCTCAGACATAAATTCGATTATATCGAAAATCAAATTAACCCTGCCAAAAAAAACCTTAAATTCAATTTCCATCTCATTCTTGCAAAAAATTCAGCAAAATAGAAAATAATTAGAAAATAATTTTGTTCCGACTTTCTTAACAAAAGTAACGGAATATTTTTCTCTTTTTACAGTCTTTTTTATTTTCGTTTCTTTTTTTACAGTCTTTTTCTACAGGAGCTTATTTTTCGATTTTAATGTAAGAGTTTTTTTTAATCTATTGTCCTAAAAAAATAGATTTTCTCAGAAATCACAAATATTTGAGGTTTCGCGGTGTTTTGTGTTTCGATGTTTTTTCATGTAAACTTACTGAAAAAAGTGTATTTGATTTCCAGTGCCGATTTTTGTTATTTCAGCATTTTGAACTGTTAATGTTTCGACTATTTATATAGCTCCCGTGGAAATTGATACCAAATCACACTCTTCCATATGGTAAAAACATACCTTGTGCCTGCTACCAAATTTGTTCAGATAAATTTGCGCCGCAGTCTATACCTGTGAAAATGCCTCCGAGAGGACACTGCATAAATTTTAATAAACTTCACTGGCCGAAATTCCGTTTGGGTAGATAGTTGAAAAGAGAAGATGGGAAATACATGTGAATTGGGGCGGAACTTAAGAGACAACAAAACAAAATATGTAAACAAAGCATAATTAACAAATGCAAAAGTTCAAATATTTTTTCACATTTGCTCCCAAAAAAGAAAACATTTACTTCCATCGCGTAAAAATTTAGAGTCATCTAAAAATATAGCTGCAGTCGAAAAAGGTTCACCCGAAAAAAAAGCTCGGGAAACTTCTCTGAAAACGTATAGCAAGTCAGAAAATTGGATCAAATTATCACCATTAGCGCCATCGCGTTTGAAAGCACAAACAAAAGGAATTAATGATTGCTTTTATGAGTATTTTAAGAAACCAATTTTTCGGAAAATAATTGAATGTAAGGTAATTGGTTACACTGTGGGTAGTCACCACAGAGTAACCAATTATGTTACATTCAATTATTTTGATGAAAATTGGTTTGTTAAACAAACTTCTTCTGATTATCACTAGGGTACCACATTTTTGCTGTTCTTTTATTATGATATCAGTTTTAGCAAAATTGCGGTCATTCTAGTTGTGCGGCAGTGCTCGAAAAATGAAAACTTCGGCTGATCTAAAACGGTCGAATACGTTTTTCAAAATAGCCCCTTCTTAAAAAAATTTGTGCATGTCACTTCTGATAACCCTTGTTTGGTTGACAGGACTAAGTTTTCAAATAAAAACAAAACATAATAGGTTGTTGTTTAAGTGAAACAGAAGGTCCAATCATATTTAAAAATGAAATTTTTGTTGAACTCTTGACAAAAATCGCATTTTTTAAAAAGGTGGCAGCCTTCGCCCTCAACTTAGCCTCCCAGCCAGTTACTCTGGGGTTGAAATTTGTGATGGTGTAGTCACAAATTTGTATTTAAGCTTACCCCTGGAGGGTTTAGGATGTTATAAGATTTTGAAAACTTTTTTTTTGCATTCGAACACATCTAAGTCAAACTAGTTAGCGCCTTAAGTTTATGTTTCTGATAGTCTGTTTTTTTTTGTTTTCAAGTATAAACAAGCAGTTCCTTCTTCACGATTCTGGTCCCCAAGATGAAACTCGGGTTATTGTGTTCGCCACGTTACCTGGATTAGATTTACTATCTTTATCGGATGATTGGTTCTGTGATGAAACGTTTTCGACTGCTCCCAATGTTTTCTATCAGATTTATACTACACACGCTTCTGTCGAAGGATGCCTTATCCCTATTGTTTACGCTCTGCTACACGACAAAAAGGAATCAACTTATTGTCGCCTTCTCAGTATTCTAAAAGTTGATTCTCCAAAACGCGTCACAATTGATTTTGAAGTAGCTGTGCGAAACTCAATAATAGCTACCCATCAGATTGCTCAAATTCAGTTTTGTCTTTTTTCCATATTAGTCAAAGTGTCTGGCGACATGTTCAGTCCTCAGGCAATACTCGAAATTACAACAGTGACCTTAAGTTTCGCGAACTTATTCGAATGCTTCTCGCAACAGCATTTCTGCCCGTAGAGGACGTCCCCACAGCTTTCGATATTCTGCAAGGTATGGCATCTGAAGAAAGTCAACCGATTTTAATTATTTCGAGGACACATATATTGGTAGACTGACTTCTCAAGGACGACAGAAGCCCAGATTTGATATGGAGCAATGGAGTTGCCATCAAAGAGTAAAAAACGACCTTCCCCGCACCAAAAACGCTGTAGAAGGTTGGAACAGCAATTTCGTGAAACTGGTCAATAGTAAGCATCCATCATTCCCAAAACTAATCGAGAAGTGCCAGGACAAGCAAAAAAAATGCGGAAGTATTGTTGGAAAAAATGTGCGCAGGACAAAAAGTAGCCACACCCAAAAAAGCTAAATACTAAAAAATTGACAAAAACTTGATCACTATGATTAAGTCATATCAACCCAACGATATCATTGGGTTTTTGAAAGGATGTAGTTATAATATTAAACTATAATCAGAGTTTTCTTTTCTTTTCAATTTTCACATTTATTCCACATTGCCAAGCAATAAAATTTTTCCAAGTTAATTAATTTTCTTGATTTTTCAAAATTGAGCTTGAGTTGATTTGAAACCGGCAAAATAATGAACACATACAAGGTGTTGATTTTTTCCCCTCCGCCCGACCCTCTAAGGTTGAACCCTTTATTGTACCCTAAATATACCCGTTATCATATTTACCCAAATTTCAACTTTTTTCGGAAAATTGGAAAATTTTTTGTGTCGCCGGAAATTCGATGCTTTTATCTCTTGAGTTTGATACTAACGCTTTAACCACTATACCATGAGTCCTTTGATTTTCATCCGAATTATTGTTTCAAATTTGGCTCTTTGATCTTTAATTGCCCCTGTTTGAGTTTTCAAAGCGTAGATCAATTCTGTCGGCGCCAAAAGATCAAGGTCAAGAAATTCAACTGGTTTTGGACTGTTTTTAGAACCTTTTTTGATGTTTTGGAATGTTTTGTATGGGACTGTTTTGTATATACACCAACAAAAATAACGGAATATTTGTGCTCGGGCTGTTTTTTTTTCTTCAGACAAATTTCGACTTTTAAACTACACAATTTTTACGGATTTTGTTTATAAATCAGCCGAAAGGTATTGTTGTCTTCAGCTAAATTTTGAAAAGATATTTTACCTGTGATCAATTTTTAAAAAGTTATGATGTGGGCCAATTTGGGACAATTAACGCGCTATTAACGCGTAAGCGGAGATTTAATCCCTCATTGAAATAGTTCCAAATTGGTTGAAACAAGCTATTTTTCATAGTTTATACGTTACTAGGAGCAAAATCTATCACTTGTACTTTATATAGCTTGTGGGGTGCTGATTTACAAAACAAACTCAAAATGTTTGATTTTTGTATTTTTTTCTTTGAAAAAAGCATCATTTTTTTGAGCGAACACTGCTTCATAGACTTTGAAAGACAGTCGAAACTTTCTGGGCTTTGCCCTGATACAAGCAGTCTTGTTGCTCCGACTTTCGAAGAAAACGGAATATTTATGCTCGGTGTGGTTTTTGTTCAGTCACTTTTCGCCTATCGAAATAATAGTTTTCGACAAAATTTTTTATACCCCATTTAAGATATCGACTTCTTGAGTTCAAATATAAAAAGATATTCTACCTCCGGTTTTTTTGTAAAGATCTGGTGGTTTGACAATTGCCAAATTGGCCATGTTCTGGACTTAATTATGTGCAATGTGAAGAATTTATTCATATTGCTAAGATCATTACGCAATTTATTTAGGCGTGTCGAATTATCCCGCTCAGCAAAATTGATCCAAATTGAATTGAGGCTAGCTAATCAGATCGGTCGTATTAATTTCGTATGACTCAACATTTCTCATTTTGACATTGTCCAAATCTTATAGGTTTTCAATAATTTTTTAAGCAAAAACTATTCGATATGAATGAGGGGTAGTCGGAACATTCAGGGCTTTGCCCTGATGTACGAGCAGTCTTGTTTGATTTAATTGAAGTTTTTTTTGTTGAAACTTGCAAGTGAACCGTGGACGGTTAGAACACTGCCTTTCCTTTATAACAAATTGCTGCATTTGTTTCTAAAGGAACACGTTGTTTTCTGCGACAAGATAGTTATATTGCTGCATGATTTCAAGATATATGTATTTTATGTATGATAAGTAGTTAGAGTTTTCTACAAAATTCAAGAAAGCTGTTTTTGTTTTTTTTTCGTCAAAATTTATTGTTGCCCACATTCAAATAAAGCCTTGACACCTAGGCTGTACCCTTCATCTGCATTTGGTGATCGAGAGCTAGACCCAAGGCAGCGTTTTGGTAGAGGTAACAAATGTGAGAATTGAGAATTTTTTCGGCTAATCATTTTTTTTGCAAATACGTTTTTTGAATCTAGGCAGTGGGCATATCTCGTTTCCAAGATCGTTTTGTGCTATACCCAGTATAATGCCACGTTGCATTTTTATTATCAACCCAGCCAAATTTAAATTCTA